GTGAAAATTAGATAAGATTTTGATTAAATTCGCATTATTTAAAAAACCTTAAGATTTAGGTGTTATAAACCTTATTAAAACAGACACTTATTTTGATCAGCGAATCCAAAAATGCAATAATATATAGGACATTCTATTTAAAAACGCAACTTTGATACCTTTAGAGCTTTTGGGACACCCTGTAAATTACAAAAATATTTTTAAAATGTGCGCCCGGTAGGCGCCGGACAATTCATGAAATAATACTTTTAAAAAATCAAACGGTTTAGCCGCAAACTTCCGTGCCGTATAGCGTGAATAACCCTGTATAAAATACAAAACGCACTTACTAGTAAAAAGTATTGCTTAGAACCTATTATTGCAATCACGTAAAAACTTCTGAAAATAAAACCCAAATTAAAACAATTCAATTACGTATCGCAGTTTAATTGAGCCACTAAATAACAATAATTGCATTTAACTGACTTAAAACTGCGGCGTATATTGCGCCATCAATAAACTTTTTGCGTTCTAACAGGTTTATCACTGAAGTTAAACCGTTTCAGAAAATGCCTTTTTATGGACCCTAAACACGGCATTAACCCATTAAACCCTTGCATCAACAAAGGCAATTTCATGTTGAAACGGCGGATCTTTGACACAGTTTATACCCGACATAATATGTATAATTAAAGGTAGTTTTAAATGCCTGTTCTAAATTTAAATTACTTCTGGTCGTTCTGTTATACATAATATAAAGAGTCGCTTGAATGTTGCGTTGAGAGTTTTTAAGAGAACTACTCAGTTTTACGTTGCTAATTTCGCTTGCACTGTTTGGCCGTGCTGACCTATTAAAAATTGCATTTGATGCTGACAATTTACGAAATTAGATCGGGGATTTACGGTCCCAAATGGCCACCGCATAGAGCTGAAAATTGACTTATCCATTTTTAATCTAAATTTCGAGTTGATGAACTAGATTCTCTTGTTTTAGTAATGTAACTAGGCTTTAGTGGCACATAATTGCCAATAGCTAAAACATCTTTAACACCTTTCCAAAATGACAGAAATTATTTGAATAGAAACACTTTTCCGAAAAAGTTACCTGTTTGGTGAAAGCGTTGGAACGGCATTGGTTGGAGATTGATGGGATAGAGCCAGAGTCCTTCTGAAACAAAAAGTAAGTAATTTAGCGTTTTTCAATTTTTAATTTCTGCTTGCTTCGGTCAGTGAATCAAGAAGAAAGAGAGTGATCTATATCGATCAACACAATGTTTCCACGTGTTAAACGCAAAAATAAAACCAAAAGTGGATTTATTGAAATGAAATGGAAAACTCGGCGATCCTGCCACCGAAATTACTCAAATATAGTGGCAAGGGAACCTTGGATTTAAAATTATTGAACATTTTGCCAGGTTGAACGCTAAGCGATTGCCATATTTTAAATGCATTTAGAAAAGATTTACGTGAACGGTATTTGCATATTACGCTGAAATCGTTGGTGCATCAGCGAGTTTGGATACAGCCAAATGGACAGTTTTTCCTCCGATTTGGGTTAACAGACAAATAATTTGCATTTGAAAAAAACATCTGGCAGATATAGAATCTTTCATAGAACTAATCAATATTCTAACAGCATCGAAACGTTCGTTATTCTAATAGGAATTGGAAAGAGAATTTTTAATCAGATTTTAGGTTTTTTTATGATACAATACTATATATGTATGTCATGTGACTATATTACGTTTTTTATTCCGTTTTACAAATGTTTATTTGCTCAATACGTGTAAAGGTTCTCAAAACAATGAGCAGATTTGAATAAACTGCGTCGTTTAAACAGCAACTGTAGTTTTTCTGTAAACTGAAATCTTTACTTAGTCGTTTTTCTGTAGAGGGCTTGTATAGGGTTACACACTTAAGACAGCATTTACAAGTCTTTCTGTACCGTTTGATATTAACATAAATAACATAAATAGCAATCTTGATTTTAGAATTCGCTCCAAATACCACTTAATACCATTAAATTATACCGTCGCTTTATCTAAACCTTATTCTTATCCCCGCAATCCCGAGAAACATTCAAGAAGGTAGGAATAATGGCTTGCAAGGGGCTCGAAATAAATGTCTCGCACCAACCCTCATCTAAGTCGGCTCGCTTTATTTGGGACTATCAAAAGTTGCCGTTAATATCGGTCTCGACGTTTCATTCCGATCCGAGGAAAAGAAAGTAGGGGAATTTGAAATTGTTGAACGATTTTTTCAGGTCACAAAGCGATTTGGTGAAATATCACATCAAAGATCGTTGGAATAATCAAGATACGCAATGGTAGGATCGATGCTGACTGACAGAGTTATTGGGCTAAATTTTAAAAATTAATTTAATTTGAAAGGTTTTTTTTGGGATCAGCTTTATGGGCTTACTTGAATCGTTTCAGATCAGTATCGGATTTCGGAATTGTGATCGGTTTCGAAGTAAAAGTGTTCATTAAAATAATCAGGATTTTTACATTTTTTATTTTGCAAAGATGTTCCATGGCAGATCCATATAAACATAATCTTTCGACCAATACGCAGTATTTTTTAAGTGAATTTAATAATTTTTCACGTGCAGAATTCTTTAAGAGTAAGTAAGTTTTTTTGATACTCTAGATACATCAGAGATAATCATTTCGGAAGAATAATTTTTATGATTCGTGCTACACCACAAAAGCGAGCAAATGAACAATTGATATAAAAACCTACTTTTGCCCAAATTAAAGTAAATTTTTAGGATGGCCCGAATCTTGATGTGATTGAAGAAATTGATTCAAAATTTAATTTTTTTAAATTTAAGTGTGGTAATTTTAAGCTTGTTTAGAAGAGAACTGTAAGTGTGTTTTACTGTCATGTAGTGTAGAACTCGATAGCTCTACACAACATTGCTAGAAGGTGCCATTTGTAATTACAACAGTTGTCGTTTTATCCAAATTATTGTTTTAATTTAGTAAAAAACTGTTAATGTGAGAAATAGCGTCGTGTGTGAAGCAAAAACTCACAGGCTCGGTTTCGGAACTATTAGTTCTATCAGTCTATTATATTTTTGGATACGCAGTTTCTAAAAAGTTTTGTCTACTTCTGATGAGGACTAATAGGTCCAAAACGGGCGTATTACTTGCTTATGGTAAAACCCAATAATTCAATTGAAGCAGGCATTTACGACTGATTAAACTGGTTAATCAGTCAATAAACTAGTTTGAAACCTGATCAGTGATTGGCCATATAATAAAATGTGTGTCATACATGGTTAAATTATAACTAAGTCGTTAGCTCATTTCAAAACATATTGTTTAAAAAAAAATAAGTGGTTTTCCATAAAGAGACGTTCTGCTATAAGCTTTTTATTCATTAATTTTTCATTTGTTTGGCGGTTGTTTTCTTTGACTTGCCAATTTGCACGAAAACTAAGTGAATGACATCCTAACACTGTAATGTAAATTGCAGTTGCAGTCTCAAGCGCCATTTAAATTTCTATTTTTGCTTTCTTTCTTCATTCACCCATTATGTAGGTTGATTTTGAAGATTTTCCCTTCTAGAGCAATATTACATCACACCTCTAAAATTGACAACCTCGATCGGTTCATAGCATAAATAAAAAATAAGGTAGCGACTAACACTCCTAAAAGTATAGTGTATAACGAAATCTTTGTATGGTTCGTAATAAATTATATTTGGATTAATTCAACTTAATTTCGGGGTTTTTTAGTCCATTATTTCGGAGATTGAGCCTTAGAACGAAACTATATTTAAAGTTCTCCACAATTTTACTGACTTTGGTACTCTCTCAATTTTTAAAGGTTAAATCTTCCTCAGCCATGTCACCGGATGATAAGAGCCAAAAACTGTCCATCTTGACCTTTCTGACAAAATCTGCGAAGAACAAAGTGACAAAATAACTGGCACATAAGAGGCACATAAGTACCGATTATCGGCCGAAAAGTTCTTCATGTTTATAAGTCGTAGACGACTGAAATGATTCACTGCTTATGAGCAGAAAAAAACGATTGGGTTATTACTTTGACTGATTCTAAAAACCTTCATACGCTGATTAATTAATTATTTAAGTACATATTGTCATTCCAAATTGTGTAACACAAGGCGAGTCGTGGCGATATAAGATCTGAAAAGTCAATAAGAGGATCCTAATAACAAATGAAATGGAGACCCTCATAACAAAAGAGATGTTTACCAGATATAAGAGAAAAAAAACTCGTTCAGATAAGAAAAAATATAGGCGCCATGTTGACTAAATTACAGAAGAACTGTTAATGAAAAGAAACTGAAAGAAAATTGACACTACGATAATACGTCTGGAAAAGACCAGGAATAATTGCTGAGTCCAGTTTTCCATGTTTTCCATCAAATCCAGATTATTTTTTATGTTGGCGTCTAGTGGTTTTGACTATAAAAACGACACCAAACTAAAAGCGCATTTAGAGTCGACGTGATAAAACATCTAACCGCTATTATGTACAATTATCAGTCCAAAGTTCCCACAAAAACAAACCAGTTCTTCCAATACAGCAACTGAGGAGATTTAAGTGGCTTAGGAAAGCAAAATCCATTCGCTAAGTGAATACATACAAGGTGAGCAAAATGAGCAACCTTATTAAAAAAATATCTCAAAGAAACAAACTTTCAGAGTTAAATTTTTTGATTAAATCTATCGCAATCTACTGGAGTTTAAAATACAATTGTATACCTCCTGAGTATTTAGTTTTCGCAACCTGAAAAATGTTACAGCACTTTCATACAGTTTTTCATTGGTGTTTATTGGCGGTTTAAACACAAAAAAATTACCATTAAAATGTAAAAAATGTTCATTAATAAATGCCACTTCCAATTTTTATTTGCCATATTGATCACCGGCACAAATCGGCTTAGTAGTCAGTTACAAATCCAATCAACCATTAAAATTTAAACGGCTCAATAAGACTTGGCCGTTCAAGCTCAAAATCAATGCAAAACATGTTACTTACTAATGTATGCAACCTAATCCGGTTGTGAAGGTTTCATTCAAGCTGGACAAAGTTTAAACTGTACGCGACATATGTGAACATCACATAAGTCAAATGGGAATCGGCATGTGACAAGTACAGTTTAAATTCACCTGAGCGTAAGCTAAACCTATGCATCACGGTTTCACTGGAATAATTTACGTGTTCATTATTGATGAGGAGATAAAGTTTTATTTCCAAAATAGTTACATTCATTTTATCCAATTTGAATAAGAGCAGTTTATTTCATAATATTAATGTACTAACAGAAAAACAGATGTGTGTCATACATGAAAAAATGATGCCCAATGATTCATTAATTTTATGAAAAAGATTATTTTTTAAATACATGTTTTCTGTCCGTTTTAAATGGTCCAGTGTAAGCATATTAAACGACAAATAGTTGGAAAAAAATTGGCAAACAAAAAAATATTATTAAAATACAGCAAAAGCATGATATCTCTTCTTATCAAGCAAAATCAATAATTATTATTCAATCAAACAAGCTTTTTGTAATAACTTGTGTACGTGATTTATGAGTATATAAAAAGCCCTCGAATATTAGTTATGGCCAAGCGTTTTGGACAATTGCGGCATCATCAGGGCCACTAAAAAGCAACGAAAAATGAAGGAAAAAGGGGATAATCTTACGCGCCAAAACACAAGAAAAGTTGATTAAAATGGTTAAAATAAGTTAAAAGTTTAAAAAAGACAAACTTACTAGAAAACGGACTACAATGAAATTTTAAAAAACGTAAAAATGGACTAAACTGACCAACTCTTGCAGGAACATAAACAGTCTGTTACAGACTGAATATTAAAAGCTTGAACATTTATATTTTTCTTGGCAGGAAGAAGGAGTTTACCTTCTACTTACGCGTGCAAAATGCTGAACAAAATTCTTGTGTACATAAAAACTAATAAATAATTATAATAATACTATCTTAAACAATTACAGAAATATTTCACGTTAAATTACACTTACAATGCGAAATTTTTGTAAGCAAAAATATTCCAGTTTAAAAAATGGTGAACATTTCAATGTGTGAAAACATTGGTCACCTGAGCGTGACGTACGTATGTCCGAAGAATTTTATCCAGCTCCTCCTCATTTTCAATAATAGTGATGCTCATT